ATTGTGAGGCCAACTGAAAAAGGACAAACAGTAAGAGGGATGTTCTTCTCTGGCATGAAGCCCATCTAAGGGGTTTGGTTCCGCCATCCATCCATCCATTTTCTGATCCACTTTATCCTCACAAGGCTCGCGGGGGGTGCTGGAGCCTGTCCCAGCCGTCTTCAGGCAGTAGGCGGGGGACATCCTAAACCGGTTGCCAGCCAGTCGCAGGTCACACAGAGACTAACAACCATCCACGCTCACACTCACACCTAGGGACAATTTAGAGTGTTCAATCAGCCTGCCATGCATGTTTTTGGAATGTGGGAGGAAACCGGAGTACCCGGAGAAAACCCACGGAGGCCCGTGGAGAACATGCAAACTCCACACAGGGAGGCTGGCGCGTCTGCACTGTGAGGTCGACGCGCTAACCACTGGACAACTGGGCCGCCCTGTTGGGTGCCCCCATTTTTGTATCAAAGTATAACTGATACTCATGAAACAGACCACAAATTGGCAACCAAACCTGAAATAAACACATCACTACAAACATAAAACAACAGATGACTCACAGAACCGTGCGATATTTCTTTTTACCCCAAAACGTAACACTGATGGTGGGTTGTTGAGGCAGGTGGTGTAAATCCTATATACTCACTTACTGTCAGTCAATGCCACCTGTTAATACAAGCAGCCACCAGATCATACATCCATATTCCTAATATGGCTGCAGTGATGTAAATTAGAAAACATGAAAAGTCCTTTTTTCCTAGTGGGGTACTGGAGGTGTTTGAACTTGTTTGATAGCGAGCAGCCAGAGACCGCATGATTGCGTCAGTGGAAGAAATAAAAACACCATGCAAGCAGATGACATGCACATGAATCAAGTGTGAGCGATAGACAATCACAAGTCGTCATACCCCGAAAAGTAATAGAATGTCACCGTGCTATTGTCTGCCTGGGTTTTCTCCTGGTCCTCTGTAGTCTTTCTAAAATATGCATGTAAGCTTAACTGAAGATTGTGAGCACATAAGTATTCAATATACCATGGAACACAGTGATGACAAAATCTCACACAATACTGTTGGCACTTTGTCCACTACCAAACATGTCCATTATCCCTTCAAACTTGTGTTTAGATTGAACCAATCATGCTTGAGTAAAGCTTTCCTAGCATAGCTTGTCCTGAAGACCACTGGGCTATCCCATCTCCCCATCCGCATAACTTTGTGTCTCAATTGTTTGTTTATGTCAAGCAAATTGTCATAATTGCCCCTATGCCAGATGGACTTGTTTATATTTTCATTGTCACAGTGTGTTGTTTGGATTTAAATTCCAGAGTAAACAAGTCTCCTATTTGAAATTATGTTGTTTCCATGGGTGGATAGTTACGATCAGAGAATGACTGGCAAGGAATCAGATCCCTGCAGGGAGGGTGATGACCATTTTCTACATCTCAATTTAGTTTAGATTTACACTCAATTATTTCACAGGACACACCCCCACACACACACACACACCCACACACGCGCGCGCACGCTGTATCAAAATAAATTCTGAAAATGTCCCACTTCCGCGACACACTAATAGCACAAAAACACTTCTCTGAGAGTGAGACCAAACGAGTCATCTTTCCTGTCAAAGTCACACCCAGACTAGAATGCAGTTATAGTTTTCATTCTCACACTTACTTTGCTCATGTGCCCACTCTTTGTTCTCGTTTTTTTTCACTTATGGACCTACAGCTTGCTGCTCCTTTTATTTTATTTCTGGGACAGACTCAAGTGTAACTTACAAAGGGTGAGGGTGTACAGTAGATTGAGTGTGATGCTGTAAAAGTTAAGAATGGCAGGAAATGTGTTTGCTGCTGTCTTAATTCATTTATTTGTTTTCTGCATAAGAGTCCTTCCTGCAGATAGTAACCAAACAAACATAGGAGACCTTTGCCAGGCGGGACAAGATCAAGCAGATAATATTTCGTTTTTTAATAATAATAATAATAATAATAAGAATAATAATAATACATTTTATTTGAAAGCGCTTTTCATCACACTCAAAGACACACACATAGTGTTTGTCTTTTTTATTTTTATTCAATATAGAGCAGTTAAAAACCAAAATGTAAAAGCTTGAAAGTCTTTTCTATTTAGACGTTGCTTTTGAATGCCCCAAGATGTTTTTGCCAAGGTGAGAAAAGCAAAGAAAGAAGTTGAGATCCATTCCACTGGTTAGTATATCATAAGAGATAATACATATCCCCAGCATGAAAATATGTCCACTGGGGCTATAAGCACCTTAAGATGGAATTCATATTAGCTTTTATTGTGGTCTATAGAGGTGCATATGCGTGTGTGTATGAAAATTAAATAAAATCCCAATGCAATTGCGCTTTCTACCTGCATTCGAGTGACTCATTCCTTTCAATAGAATGATTAAAGTTGACGTTATGATTTACGTAGAGTCAAGTCATAGGAATGTTTCAAGGCAATGTTCATGTTAGATATCCAGTTGGCTAGAGGTCAATCCAGAAGTGAACACTAGATGTCGCCCATGGCATCCTTAGTACCGCGACCATACAAACTATTCTGCACGGACGTGCTTTATTACATATGTCAACACAATGGAAAACCGTTATCATTTTGCTCTTGAAAAATTCTTGGAATAAAACCTTACTTGTAGCAACAGGATTTTGATATCCCGGCGCCATGTCCATAACCTTAAAAAGATGAGCAGATGAGTAGTTGGCTGATTGGACCTGTGGAGGATGGTGACATGTGGGAGAGATATGGATGTGAAGGAGATAGAGACAAAGAAAGAGGGGTTCCCCCCTCCCACATCACATTTATTTGTTGTTTTGCAGCTTCTGTATTCGATCATTACGTTTTTTTTAAAACAATATAAAAAGGCTGGAATTAATTATTGTAAATGCCATATTGGAGAAAAAGTTAGTCTGTACTTAAGTCACATTTTTTTTTGTTTGAAATAGCAAAACGTAAACTCGAAAATAATGAAATTATGTCTTACATTTAAAGTCAGATCGTGGGTAATGCATTGTGTACGTTGATATGTTTTATAAATGCACAGTATTCGCATATTTATAATTAGGTGATAGTTTATCATCACTTTATTAAATATTCTAAATGTTTCTGATCATTACATACCAGTGTTACTATAATGAGCAAAACACAGAAAGGAAGCAGACTGCCATATGATAGATGACAGATTGTGACATGCTTAGTTGAAACCGGTCAAATTTTTGTTCTCAAAAATCCCCATTTTAACTTATGTGGCAATGCTAGTGCATGTGGTCACTTGCAGTCTTGCAGCGTGTTTCATTTGCGAAACTTCTGTTCCCACTCAGCAATGGTGTGAATGCAAGTGCAAATGGTTGTGGCCAACGATTGACTGCCGACAGGATGCCTTGTTGAAAATGGACGAGCTGTGATGGGGAGCATGAGTGTAGGTGGTCAGTTCCGTGAGTTAGGGTTAACTCAAACCAAATGTCGAATGATGGTGAACAATGAATGAATATACAGGCATTGTTTAATCAAATGCACATGGAGATAAAAAATAAAAATAATGAGAGGCAATATTTCTTTTCAAGCTGTTCTCTGTGGTTTATTTCAGAGTGTAACCATATGGTGTGATGGGAATCAAGAAATGACAGAAGTACAATAACTTGAGTGGGGAGATGCAGGAGAGATAGTGGAGAAGGAAAGCAGGGCGTGCGTGGAAGAGGTTATCCAGCCAAAACACACACACACACACACACACACACACACACATGATCAGCGAACATGTTTTTCATGAATCAAAAAATATGGCAGTCTCTTGTCAATGAATGATCACTTTTTTGGGAAAGGGGGTTAAAATCAACATGTAAATTACTTACCGTACATTCTTTTGCTGACATAAGATTAGCTGACCATAGACAGTACTGTGGATGTCAAGTCAAGTCAAGTACTGTACAACTTTATTGTCAAATGCACAGTATGTGCAACATACAGCACAGATTAAATTTCTTCCCCCTCAACCAGACAAGACAACAAGTGGAGCCGCTGCGGGTGCCCGCCCCGCCATTAAAGAACAGTTAACATAAAATGACAACACAACACATAAGACACAGACAGTCGTGCAATCTTAACTACTTTTCCTGCATACACTTTGTTGTTTGAAGCAGTTATCCAAACATTTTCCTCGAAGTTACTGGAGCCCCTTTCAAATATTTTCATTTACCTTACCGGTAAAATAAATCACTCAAGAAATTATGCAATGTTATATAATGTAGTCATTTTGAAAGACTGCTGTGATAAGGTAAACAGTTCGGATTTTTTTTTTTTTTTTTTGTAGTGGGCCGTAGTCTTGTATCCCACTAGAATAGAGCCGCCCCTCCAGTGAAAAACAGCTCTATCCTATCTTCACCTTCAGAAACAAAACAAGAGCAATGTGTCGTAGGATGATCTGTTAAATTGGACAAATTGGACTTGGACACTAAGCAGGAAGTGGAAGAAAATGTTTTTGTTTCTCGAAAGCTACAATTCGACTGCTGACCAACATAAACTGAAAAAAAAAGATTTTGGGATTAACTGAATTTAAACATGTGCATTGGTTGCAAATAATTATAATGTGGCAAACTGATACAAATTTCCTGTGTTTTAAAACAATACAGAAACACATTTTAATCATGTGCTACCGAAAATCAAGTACTTGTTTTTTTTCAATGTAACCCCGCCTTTTTTGTTTTGCAAACCAGCATGTAAAAGTCATTTTCAATATATGCCGCAAACAGCTAAAAAATACAAATGGCCTCCAGGCCATAAATTGGACACCACTGCTGTAATCCATGAATACTATTAAATATATGTGTAAAAAAAGGAGTTCAGCACGTTATCGAAAAAAAATATTTGCAACATTTATGTCCCTCTAATGTGATGAATGGGGATTCATCACATCCGCCCCCCCCTCTCTCTCTTTCGCTCTGTCTCTCTCCCCCTCTCCCTCTTGCTCTCTCTCCTTCTCTCTCACTCGCACTCCCTCATTCTCGCTCTGTTGCCAAGGCTACCGCACAGCCTCTTGCTGCATATACCTAGATGAAGCTGCCGCCTGTGGATCTTACTCTGCTCCAGGATACAAACAATAGCGAGGCCATCACAATTGTCATGGCTCTTTCTCACACGCAAACACGCACCGCTTAAGTCCCTGCGGCTTCCGCCAGCCTCGCATGTGTCTTTCACCCCGTCACCATCGGTCTGTCTCCTCCTCGCGTGCGAGCGCGCATCATCTCCAGCAGACAGAGGAGCGGCAAAGGAATTGGTATTTGGCTGCTGCTCTTTGGCTCAGAGGGAGAAGAGCACCAGATGGCCATTTGAAGGAGAGCTCAGTCAGGTAAGTGGACTTATGCTAACCAGACTTAAGACTGGGGATGAGTGTTACGGCCCTCCCTCTCCTCCCTCGGTCTTTCCCCCTCTGTGGTTATGCGACATGAGGTGAATACCAATAGGAGGATGAAGGAAGCCCCTGTGGTTCATATGGCTGCCGTGCTATCCTGGCTGAGAAAAGGTACAGTCATGTAGCCTGCATGACCAACAGGTTGGTTCTTCATCAGCCTTGGATTTTCACATTCCTTTATTGGCATTTAAAAGCTTGATGTGTGTGTGTGTGTGTGTGTGTGTGTGTGTGTGTGTGTGTGTGTGTGTGTGTGTGTGTGTGTGTGTGCGAC